TGTTATGTTTCAGCATTTAATGTTCTTCACCTTAAACTGCATATTTGTTGGCCCTGGCGGCGAGATCACAGTGCTCTAAGCATGCGTTAGCTGATGTAACAGCTTTTTTTGAAGGAAAAGAGTAACAGTAAATGGACCAAATCTTGAAAATATTTTATTTAAAGTATTTGTAAAGTACGACTTCCGAGTATAGAATTCAGATGAAAATACCTGGATTTTCCGTTGATCTTCCGCATTCATGGGGCCCGTAGAGCAAGTGCACTAAAGCGTTTCTTTTTACCCCGCCTCCTAGCCCTCGGTCTAGCCTAACTCTTAGGACCTAATACTTTAAATATGGGCTATTCATGTGTTCGTACAATGTAAGTTTATGGGAAAAAAGTATTTTTTGGCATCACCTGGTGATGGACCTGCAAATTGTAATTCCAGCGATTGCCACTATGTAAGAATTGCTTCAAAGTTTAGTGCTCTCCCTGGTGGCTTGAGATAAACTAGGAAAGCGTCCATGCCAGCGTGCACACATGTCCTAATGGTTAGCTAACGTTGATATGCCGTTATCAATATATTGTGTGGGGGGCAAGAAAGAGTGCTATCTTCCCCCTCAATGTTTGCTGAAGGAAGAATTTGTCATTAATGGGATCAAATGTTTTTAGCATTTCAGTATTGTTAAGCTAATAATGGTTATCTCAAATTAAACCCTGTAGCTTCCTTTTTCATACTAAAAGACAAAAATGTATTTTCAGTCTAAACTACATTTTTTGTTGATGAAAACCAAATGTCTAAAATGTTGTATTTTAATCAATAGACTGATCTGAAACTAACTCAAAACACTGTCTGGTATTTAAACTAGTATTTACTTTCACTTCAAGTACAATACATATAATTTATTGCTTCGAACCTGCTGTGTTGATTTACCGTCAGCAATTATTTCCTTGCTATTTTTTGGATGTGAGCCCTCACATGTCATATGTATGCTGCTACAAGCATTACTGTAAAAGATGAGGGCTTAATAAAAACCCATTCAGCAGTAAGCTTCATGGCAGAATGCAGTTTGTGTCGAATTTAGAAGGACACTAAGAAATACTTTGGAAATAGCTGCTTTTCGTGCAGCACAGTATGCAATCCCAGTTTGACTCCAGAACACTGCAGATTTCCAAAGGATCAACAAACACAGAAAAAAATACACCTACCCCCCCCTACCAAGCCCAAACCATACATTTTATAAATATCCAAGCATTTGATTCAGCAGATTGAGACTCTTCTGAAGCAGCCTTTGGTAGTATTGGGAAGTCTTGAGCAGCCAAAACAAGAATAATTAAAAAAAAATGAATGAAAAAGTGCTCCTAAAACAACAAGCTCTCAGCCTTCAGGGTAAAAGATACAAAAGGAAAGAAGAACTGTCATGTCTCTATCTGTGTTGTAGCTGTGCTGGACATTTGTCAAATGGCTGGGTATAGCAGAGCAATTGTAATGTGCTGAGGAGCGGGAGGAAGAATAATAAAGCACAGGAGCATGTCAATAACATTACGTTGTATTAAGCCATACGCTCTGCCACATGAATCCATCTTCTGCCACAGTCAGAGCTTTCATTTCACTCTAGAGTGGCCACACATACATTTTAATCAGCCATTTGGCTGGCCAAGCTGTCAGCTGCTCGACAACAGAAGCTGATAAGGGTGATGATAAATCATAGCGCTACTGGTACAAGCTTTGGGTTTGTTTCTGCGAACACCTGCCAGTTTTTGATTTTTCCCACTATTCACACGGGCTATTCCAGGAAATAGGATTACTGTTTCCTCTCTTTACAACCCAATTTCTTCACGGGATGACTGTGAAGAGATTGGTCCACATCTTGCATCTTTTGTGTAACATACTATGCAATTTTTATTCCGTGCAAAAATACAGAAGTTGTTTTTTTGGGGGCCAAATGCGTCTGCTGTCATGTTGTCTGGATACTGCCTTGTTGGAGCTGTGAATCCTGTAATATTTTCTAACCCTTTCTGCAGATCCCTCTAGGCCAACAGAAATAGGAATACTTTCTTGTGTTGTGGAGGTTCAGTTCGTCTTTTTGCTTTGTTTAATGGTGGCAATGTACGTGGTATCCCTGGCAAGGTCGCTCTGGAGGCTGAGCCACGGGGACGCTTGGAGCAATTTGCTTTAGAAAAGAAGGAATCGACTCTTGCTTTATTGGGGGGACTGAGCCCAGCATGTTCTCAAGTTCTCTCACATAATATTTGGCGAGACTGCAAAACACCTAGAATGCTTGCAGCTGAAACCAACTTGTTTGAAACTCTTAATTCTTTTTAGCGACTCTCTATTGACTTATTTCTCTCTCATCCAAAATACTCGATATTCAAACCCTAAATATTGAGTATAAGAAGGGCACAATGCGTTCATCCTGTTTGGGGAACTTGGGGAAGTTTTAAATACAATTTCACAATTTAGATTTTAAAGAATTGAGTTTCAACATTTGGAAGATGCAGTGATTTACAGCCGAGGTAGCATTAAGAATACGCTAATTGTGGACGTCAACCTGCTGAAATAATGAAATGCAACTTCCTCTCCTATGGACCTATGCACGCAATGCAGTTAGAGATGCAGCTAAAGTTTTTTTTATGAGACATAGCACAAAATGAGAAAACATTTTCGTCAGTCAGTGCAGCTGTATAAAAGACAACATACATTGCAAACAACAACATGAAAATGAAATTAATTCAGTTTCTCTGCAGCTAGCGCTGTGACAGTAGAAGCAAGGCCCCTGTTTGTTGTTTTCTTCACTCGATGGAGCTTATTAATTGCCAACATTTCATCAGAGAATCACAACGTCAAATCAGCTCAGTCTTTGAGCTTGTTGACTTCACACATGGTACCTCAGCGCCACAGCGATGCGCGCGACTACACAAGACATCCGAAAAAAGTCTTTTCAGCTTCTTGCAATGGAAGAGCTCCAAAGGAGAAGGAACTGACAAAGAGAGGAAGCAGGAAGAAGGGCAGCGAGGAGATGATCTGCAGAGATGGTGGGTGGGGCAGGATGCAGGAAGTAAACGCACGCGCACATACACACGTGAACAGATTCACATACGCACACAGGAGCTTACATGACAAGTCATTATCCGGCATCAGCCAGAGAAGACGGAAGAGTTGCAAGAGAGAGTTGAGTGTGAAGGCATGAAGGAGAAAAGCGCAAGCAATGTAAAGGAAGAAAGGGGGACGGAGGAAGAGGAGGAGAGCAGTGGAAAAGGGGTGGTGAAGGTGGGAGATTTGGTCTTGATCTCCCAAGTGCATGGCAGATTGGATTTAGTAGCATGCAGTCCTGAGCAAAGACATCACGTTATGACATATTTCAGGACCCCCCCTCCCCCCCCAAACAGGATGGGCAGTTGGAGCAGGATATAGTATATTATGTTACTGTGGTTGCATTAAGTTTGTAAAAAAAGAGCGTGTTTTTATAAACATTCACCCCTTTTAAATGGGTACATACTGTAAGCACACAGACTTTTTCTCCGTCAGTGGCCATGGCCGCTGCAGTGTGCAGATGAATCCTGATAGATCCCTATTACCCCGGGTGTGACCCCTCACAGCTCAGTTCATTAAGCCAAACACCCAAGCGTTCGCGACTCAAGTCCAGATTTAATCACAACTTCCACCCTCTTGCCAATCACAATTAGATCCTGATAAGCCTCTCCAGGATGGCACCCGAGGGCCTCCACACACAGACAAAGGTTAATTTGCGAGCAGCAAGGGCCCGGCTAGAAGGCCGAAGGTCACCTGATTGAATACATGGAGCATGTGTGTGTGTAAGATTGTGGGGGGGGGGGGCAGCAATTACATCAGTATTCATGTGTTTCATTCATGCCTAATGGGTTCTTTACCTTCAAAGAGGTGTGCTGAGAGGATGTGGCCCTTAATGAGAAATAACGTGTGGGTAGTCTTTAGGTAGCTGAAATTAAAAAAGCAATTTCCTCATTGTCTTTTAAAGTCCCTTCACACATGTAGTTCACACATCTGTGAGCTGCTCAATGCCACCGCAGTGTTCCTCTTTTGGCCTCTGACCACTTCCACGGGAACTGGGTTACCCACTGGGTTAGGGATTGTGGGTTCATTAAACCCTAAAGAACCCCTCGTCTTTTCTGGTAATTTAACCACCGTCCCAATGACGAAAATTAAATTCAGCCGTACCGAAGTCGGTGTGAACCATCAAAAGTTCAAAATAATATCCTTCTACTTTGGTATTGGCATCTTTAGTGGTTATTTGCATAAAAAAGATTCAATTCAAATAATAAGGAATCAAATGATTGTATTTTTATTTAAATATTTGCTTTGATAGCAAAAAAAGATCTTGGCATTAGTAGTTTTAATGATGTATTACGAGCTGCTTAACCGTAGTGTAAGGAAGTTAAAGATAATTGCCTCCCTTATATCTATTCTGCACTGCTGTGAAAACGTATCGTTCAAACAACCGTATTCGTTCGAGTTCCTTGGCAAAAAATAATTGAGATTACATCGGAACACATCATGATAACGTTGTAATTTACCTTTGCCCAATACTTTTTTTTTTTACCGCATAGAGCTTGAATTCTCATAATTAACTCAATGAATGGATACAAATGTCAATGGTTTTATCACAAAAGTGTAACTCACTCAAGATAATTAAGTGAATTTAGTGTGTAAATGCCACTTGTAGTTAAAATGGCCTAAAAGGTTAAGCAGAAGTTACATAGTCTTGCTTTAACGAGCATGATGTGTCTATTACTGTGGTTTATATGTTGAAAATAAGAATGAATGCTAAAGATAGTTGCAGTATATAACAATAGATAAAGTAGCTTACATCAACGTGTGCCAGAGAGTCCAAATTTGGTAATGTTTCAGCTGTGCTAATCAAGCTTCAAAGGTTTCAATGTGACAGAATACAAATTTAACAGAAGACACAGTGTAGTTTATTTTGCCCTGTTTATGATTGCATCTCTCTGACCTCGCATCCTGTGGTGCAATGTCATTTCCAGGCCAGCTGGCAGCGGGGACATGTGAGATTGTGACGCTGGACAGGGACAGCAGCCAACCACGGCGGACCATCGCCAGGCAGACGGCCCGCTGCGCCTGTAAGAAGGGCCAGATCGCTGGAACTACAAGAGCCAGACCCGCCTGTGTGGACGGTAAGAGGAGGAGGGTGGGGCAGGGGGATCCCAGATTAGCTGGCTCGCTTTAAGGGGCCACTTTAGTGAAAACTACTCAAACATGAGGATGTTTTCCCACGAGGCATGTCTGACTTTTACATTGAATTATGTCGCTGTTGAAGCACATGAAGTAAGTTTAATGTAAAATACGGTAACGGAATTGTTGCATCACGTCATCAGGGCAGTTAGGGTTTGGCTGTTTTGTAAGAAGAGGCTTAAGGTGGATAAACCTACAATGTGGAGCGGAGTGGATCACAGGGCTGTCTTTGTGATGTTAGTAAAGCCTGCAACAAATCAATTTACACTTGAATCATTTTAAAAAAGTGGTTGGAGGGGGGGTTTCTGAATCCCCCAGCAACAGCTCATATTTCATGGATTAGTCACACTATTTGTGTAGTCTTTTTTTGGACATTTTTCACTATTTTCTGACATTTTATAGACCAAACGATTAATTAAGAAAATAATCACAACAAAATTTGCAGATAATAAAGCCAAACTCGTAATGGGATTTAAATCTGCAATGCAAATTTACACAAAGAAGCAATTTCATCATTCTCCTAATTGATCTTAATTACTTGTAGTTTCAAGTATGTAAAGTAACACTTAAATTGTTAAGTTTCATTAAAATTATTCAAATTTTGAAGCGAGAAGCAAGAATCAAAAAAAATTATTTTGATTATTGTTCCTTTGTGTCAAGTGGAGGGAAATAATTAATTGTATCCGTGGCCTCCTCACATATATCTAGTGAGTAAAAGGTGCTTCTTGAGCCTTTGAGTCATTTTTCTAGTCACCATTCTGCTTCCGTGGCAGCTCAAAGAATCTTCAGAAGGGGTTGAACGATGCTGTGACTTCTGAGATTTCCTACATTTCTTCACGTCAATTTTCATTGCGGTCCCACTGCCTCTTCGGGTGCTTGTCACCGAGTCTTGTCTCTCACAAGATGCAACCTCCATCTTTGGGTGGGAGGGGAGGTTATTTGCACAGGTGAAGGCAGAATAAACAGCTACGATCGGCAGTGAACTGTACCTTTGGATGTCTTGTTTTGCCTGTGGTTCGACTGTGCCTTCACAGTTGTTTTTCCGAGCTTCCTATCCTCAGTGCGCTGTTTGACTGGTTTTGCCTGCAGATCATATGAGGAGGAAGTCTTTGTGTAAGTGGACTTGTACAGTTTTGTGTGGCAGGCACAGATGAGCACGACATTTGAGAGATTTTCTCCGAATTCAATTTCTTCCTTTGGCCAAACTGCTTCACACTGAGATTGGTGCACTCGGCCTTAGCCCTTTAAAGAACAATCTGATCTTGTAGACATGGCTCCATGCCCACCTGCACTGTGGAGTCACTTTGCTGTCCTTACGCATGCCTCAGTGAGTAAGTTGTATTGGTGCTGCATAAATCCACAGTATTCGGATGATATCAGGAGGTATTTGTCACAACGTGGGCTCCATGGAGAACTCTGGCATTTTGTGTGGGCTCGATACTCCTTTTTCTGAAGACAGCTTAATGCTTTAGCTACACAGGTGGACGGCAGTTGGTGACATTTGCATTCAACTACCACGAAAAAAAAAAATATATATAAATTGAATAAATTTGACAATTATAGCAGTATAGTTGTTTTCTCAATATATAGATGTACTATACAGAATAATGTGAACAACATTTACTAGTACTGTTATGAACTTGGGGCAAGGTGAGGCGAGTTTATTTGTGCACATTTCATTATGAAAAGCTATTCCAAGTGCTCGACATAATGCATTAAAAACACAGAACAAATGCAGCATAAAACATTAAAATGCAAATAAAACCATTTCCAAGTAATTGAAAAGATAAAACAGAGAAAAAGATAATAGACAGGTTATAATGATAGTGTTAATTTGGACTCTGGGAAGAGTTAGCAGACCACCAGATGACCTGAGAGGCCAAGAGGGTTTAAATGGTAGGAGATGGAGAATGGTCCGATAATTTAGACTTTTTTTTTTTTTTTTTAATGACTTACCTAAAAAACACAACCTTTTTATTGAACGTACATTTTTTAAAATCTGAGAAAATAAGGAACTCTAAATCTCATATGCAAGTCTATTTCACGAACAACAGTTGCCTCACACAGTCATTTAAATGTATTTTATTTTGAAGTATCTGGCATAAGTGGCTTAGTGGTTGTTTGCACTGCTGCCTTCAGCAGGGAGGCACTTGGATTGAATTTCGACCTGTGTAGGGTCTGCTGGGTTTACCCTGAGTGTTCCTGATTACTCCCACAGCTCAAAGACATACGAGTCGATTGGAGACCGTACAGTAGATCACTCATAGGTGTGAATTAATTAGCACAACTAATTGACACTGGGTGTGTGTGGGTGTAGTGGTGCATATATGCAATGCAGTTATACAGTGACTAACAACCTCTTTAAAAGGAGAATTTACAATATATTGTAAAAAATAATACATTTTAAAAATGTAGCCAATCATGTCACAATCTGTCATGGAATTTGTGTCTTTTGCCCCAACTGCAAATGCGTACATGCATATGTATGCACACAGAGGCACTTCTGTGTTAATGCATATTTTATGTCAGATAGTCATTTCCTCCCTTATAGTCACATTGTTCCCATAAAAAAAAAGACAGACCCTCACACTTTTATTGCTGTTCATAATATAATATCCCACAGCTTGATATTATTGCCATGCAAATCTGAAATGCTTGTTTCCACAAATGCAATCATATTTGTTTATTCAGACTCTGCTCACTTTGGGGGACATCATAAGAGAGCCAGAGCCAGAGAGAAAGCTGACATAAAAGGCCCCCAAACGCCACAAATGGGATTTCAATCAGTTTTAATCTACTTGAGTCCTTGAAGGTCTGGCTCTCTTGTTGTAATATGCCTTTGCTGTGGCCAACACGATCTGTGTCCTTCATGCTTCAGACTCTGCGTCCCGTGCATGCGGGATAATCCGCAGCTCCATCAGCGGACTCACCTGGCTTCCAGGACAGTATGTGGTAATGAAAACAGAGAGAGAGAGACCTGTAGTGACATTGATCCTGAAGTAGTCCCTGTTTGTTGTTGAGCATTTCCCATCTTCCCGTTGCCCTTTGTGTGTTTACTGCTTTGAGGAGGTAAAAATGGGAGATAAGCTGTCTACATGATAAGCTTTCTGTAGCTGCGCTGTTTGATGCGCGTGTCCGTAAAGGAGAGTAGCTTGGAAAATAGACAACAAAACCTTCACCGATCACATCTCTGCAGCATGGAATGCTGTCTTTTTCTGACCCTTTATTTTCTTTATTTTTCTTTCTCTTTCACTCACACACATTTGTTTCTCTCTGTTTTAACTGTATGTCTTCGATGGCTTTACACATTTGAGACCTATATGTCAGCCTAGTGTTGCATAAGTACACCCTCTCATTTGAAATGTTAAAAAGGCTCTTGGGCCTTTTTACCTCTGTGCTTGATGACTTTTAAGAGAGCTGATATTGATTCTTATTAGGAGGGTAAGGGGCTATTAGAGAAACAGAGAGTAGCCTACTTCTGCTGGCTGCAGGGAAGAGGGACAGATATGCAGAAGGGGGTAACTCCAGAGACATGTATAGGAGCTTGTTGAGGGTCAGTGGTGATAGCTCAGCGGGGAGTCCCCCGCCTGAGTTGAAGGTGTTTGCGTTTGGTCTCCTTTTGCTGGGATGCTGACATTGATGAAAGCCTCAAAGGCGACCATTTTTTGAGGGGCTTAAGCCCATGGATAAAACATTTAAAAAAAGAATGATACACTAACACGCATTGGTGGAAAACAACTAAGTACATTAGAGTACTGGAGTCAAAGGGAGGCTTAAAGTCTTAAACGCGTCCAGTGCTCTCCTCTCGCCCACCGGCGAAAGAGTCCGGTGGACCTTAGCTGCGAGCTCTGGGCGGCGATAGCATGTTTGGAAGCCGGACATCGTTAATGTGTACATACAACCCACATTGCAACAATACAAAGCCTGTTGAAAAGTACATGTCGGTCTTCTACTTTAGTACATTTAAAAGGCAAATATTGTACTTTTTACTACATGTATTTGCCAGCTTTAGTTACTATGTTGTCTAAGATTTTTCATAAAAAACACAAGATCTGCTACTAAAATAAATTTGAGTCTGCAAATTGATTTTTAAACTTGAATTAACTGAACTTTCTGGCCACTTGGGGGCAGCAGAAACATGTTGTGACATATGATCTTAGCATACAGTTGATTATTTACACATTCAGCAGTTAAGTAGCAACATTATCATTCATTTGAAGTCATGTTTCTGGCCACCTGGCGAATGTAATCCAATATTCACTCTCGATTAGCTCGATTGTTGGTCTCCACCAACTCCTGAGGGAAATATCTGGCTTTAAATGCGGCACTATGTTTAGCCGCTATACTCCCGAAGCTCAGCAGGTAGTGCACAGTTGGGTTTTCTATGAACTTTTTTTTGCTTTTGAAAACGACGCTGTCAGAGCAGAGTGAGTGAGCCAAAACAGTAAAACTGTTGGCTAGAAAACAAAAGCAATGAGCTGAGACACCCTACAGATTCAGAGTATTATTTTCATAAATATCACCCTTTTCACATTGTCACATTGTTTTTTACATTGTCATTTGATACATTGTTATTATGAAAATAGCAATCATAACAGCTTTGAATTCAAAAATTCTAACATTGCGGAAATAAGGTTTTGCCTGTTTTCAATGCAGTCTCAAGTGCAGTTTAATTTTTCATAATTCTTGAGCGGCAACCTACCTCAACTTTTCTCCTTCCACAGACTCTCCCTCTTTATAGCTTTTTATTTACAAATAATTGATGATTGAATAAATACTTTAATATTTGTTGCCGAGTAACTTTGTAAGCTTTTGTATGCAGGACTTTTGCTTGAAGTGGAGTATCTTCACAGCAAGGTTTTGTTACTTTTACTGAAATCTAGCAGTACTTCTTCCACCTCTGCTTACACATAACTCACATTGTCATATCTGTAAAGCTGCA